TGATGTTCCACTGTCTCTGAGGGGTAGTCACATAGTGGGCAGGCAGCAGACTGCTTTACTCCATTTCGGTTGAGATGTTGGTTGAGGATGATGGAGTGACAAAAACAGGAAAATAACGGGCAAATATGAAAAAATCAAATGCACTTTAACACTATCCACTCACGCAGCATGCACAGAACACAATACTTATCCCCATGGCCCAGGGTACAAAGTCTGATGCGGTACATGCTATATATCACACCGTCGCCAACTGGTGTCTCGTGGGGAAAAGGTACGGCTTCTTACCATCGCCAGTCGACATCCCGTTGGAGCAAAGTGTTAAACGATATCGTTGCTGTTTCAGGCAATCTACTGTAAGTCAAAATTTTCAAGCCTACTCTCATCAATTCTGGTCCACCAAGGGATCTTTAACGTGTGCAACTTGCTCACGGGACCTTCTAGATTTTTTACCCTTATCCAAGAAGGCTAGGTGTTAGATCTTACCTGCCCTAAGATCAGGGATGTGGCTGAAAGACAGCAGTAAGAAGGAGCCAAGAAGTAGAAATAGAAAGAATCAGGAGCCCAGAGGAGGGAGTAAAAGAGGGTGGAGATGGGGGCAGAAAGTGGAGACGAAAGCAGATGACAGAACATGGTTAGAGAGCAGGAAAGGAGGTGAAAGGAGAACATTTTAGAGAAGAAAATTTTCCGTCACTGTCGGGTTTCGAGCCCGGGGCCTATTGAATGAGAGGCGATCACCATAACCTCTAGACCATAAGAGCCCCCCTCTTAATTCTGTGATAGTGAATACTGCAGACAGAAGTTATGTTGCACCTTCTGTTTCTTTTCTTATTTCTATGATAGTGCATGTTGCAGACAAAAACGACTCTGCGTTCAGTTCCATTTCTTAATTTTGTAATGGTGTAGAAGCAACATTGTGCCTTCAGTTCCATTTCTTAATTCTATGGTACTACCTGCTACAGATAGACGCGACATTGTACCTTCTGTTCCTTTTCTTAATTCTGTGATGGTGTATGTTGAAGACAGAAGTGACATTGCACCTTCTGTTTCTTCTCTTAATTCTGTGATATGATGGTGTATGTTGAAGACAGAAGTGACATTGCACCTTCTGTTTCTTCTCTTAATTCTGTGATATGATGGTGTGTGTTGAAGACAGAAGTGACATTGCACCTTCTGTTTCTTTTAATTCTGTGATATGATGGTGTGTACTGCAGAGGGCGTTGATGAGTACAAGTTCCTAGTGTACACTGACAGCTGCAGGGTCTGGAACAGAAACCAGAGCGTGTGGACCAATGAGTCTTGTAAAGTATGTTCTCATTTTTTGTTGGACTTAACTTACATCATTATAATTTTATGTTATATTTTGCCGATATTTTGTGTTTGACTTTCGTAGTTATTTTAAGCTAGATTCTAGATGTTTCCTTTGTTTTGTGTTGTTCTTCATTATGGCGTTACAATGAACTTCAGCTGTCATTTTGTCTTATTTCTTAGTTGTGATTTTACATTGAACTTACATCAGCATTTTATGTTAAAATTACTTAGTTATTTTGTTTGTATTTCTTTATTGTGGTTTTAGCGATAAACTTAATATCATCTTTCTGTGTTAAAATTTGGCTGTCATTTTGTGTGCACTTGCACCATCAGTTTGTGTGACGTTTATACCTCCAATTGATTGGCACCATGGCTTTGATGAGCTTCATTTTGCAGGAAAGAATGTCGTAGGTGGTCCAGTAGTTAGGCTGTTGAGCTCACAACAAAAGGTTGTTTATAGTTTGAACTCAGTGGGGGGGGGGGGGCAACGATGTGTCTTTGGGAATGGAACTTTACATGAATATTCCTCACTTCATCCACATGGTAATGACTCAGTGAGTATCTAGCTTTAGACGGTGAAAGATCTCGTCATACTGTTAATGTTAGAGCACTTAACTAGCTGTTTTATTATATGCTTCCTGAGAAGCTGAGAATGCTTCTAAATCTTCTAGGGTCTGCTGGGATAATGATAATAATATTAATATTAAAGATTGTAAAATGCATAGACCTCGCTGTTGAGTGGGGATATGCACTATACAAATAATTCCAAAATTGGGAGATTTTTTAAAAATTGAGAATCTCTCTCTGTCTTCCTTTTGGGATATTGTATCCATCTCAGCCCGAGTTGGCCCTGATAGGCAGGGTTGAATGACCGCTTCTTAAATGATCTAAAAATTGTGTTGATGGGGGTGTAAAAAAACAAATTTTGTTTGTTTGTCTTCCCCAGGTATCCCCTCTCTCTTCCCTTGGGAATACTGTGTGTGACTGTTTTGATGCCCCAGACTACACCTTTGGGTCTTCCTTCTACATTCCTCCTAATCTCATCGACTTTGACCTGGTCTTCAAGTCAGTGAACAAGACATTTCAGGACTACACAATAGACACTATTTGTGAGGCGTGCTGGCAAAATGAGTTTCTTCTCGCAATCCTCGAATGGAGATATCGGATGGAAATTAATATTGCGGACAAATTTTCAGAGGGTGGTTGGCGGGTACTCTGATGTGGTTTTCTCCTTCTTTCCTATCAAACATCTATCTTCCTTATCTCCTCCTCTACTTCTATTTTGTGTTTGTTACTCTTTTGTAACACCTCTAATCTTCGGCACTTATATGACCTTAATGTGTTGCAAGTGTTGTAAAGCTCTCACTAAAACAAAACAAAAAAAGCAACAAATTTTCAATTGATATCATTTTCTTCAAGTTTAACATGTCCTTTATTACTTATTACTAATGAAATGTAAAAACTCTGCCAATAAATTTGACATATCTATTTCCATAGGACTAAAATCCAAGAAGTAATTTATTTTGTCAGCCTGCCTCGCATTTAAATGCACATTGTTTAATTAACAAATGTATACAAGTTGTTGCAGCCCTGAACTGGAGAAATATTGCAACATACACTGTGTCTTGATATGACGGTACACATGACATTACTAATTACACTACAGTGTGACACTTTAACATGATGCAAAACATCCAGAAAAGGAAAACATCACACTAAAAAACAACCTTATGTAGTTCAGTACAATTTACTACAGTGGAGCTGGCTTTAACTGAAAACAATTAGTCTGAAAATAACGTAGCGGTAAACCAAAAGAAATCGGAATCCCTGATATTTTTTTGTCTTTTTTTTGGGCAACCCAGGGGAGTTCCACAGATTTCGGTTTAAGTGATCTCCACTGTACAGTAAGATGAAAGTAACACTACACAACACAGCCTATAGAATGATACAACAACTTTTATATATGAAACTATGAGATGTTGTGTGACATGACAAGATATAATGGGATACAGTGAAGTGCAACGCTAGTGTAAGATGAAGTCTTGCTACCAAAATGCTTTATACACATGTTTGATCTAACTTATGCACACACACACACACACACACACACACACACACATGCACACACACACACACACACACACACACACACACACACACACACACACACACACACACACACACACACACTATGTCTTCTCACTTCGTTCCTGCCCACGCATAAGCAAAATCGCCCTCTTTCATGGGTGACTGAGCAAGAGAAAGTAAAGAAAGGCGTTGAGAGATAACGATAGAGAGAGTGGGCGAGGGAGAGACAGAGACAGAGAGGATGAGAATGAGAGAGAGAGAGAGAGAGAGAGAGAGAGAGGTGGTTCCTGCCGTCATGCTATGCTAGGCCTGCGGGCAGGAATGACTTGAAGCGAAGCGTAACTTGCAGATATCCCGAACAATAACGGAGAAAGTGTGCCTGTCACAGACTAAGCTAGCCGTGACACCAGCCAGAAGACAAAGCAGTAGACCACATGATGAGAGCGCAATACAATGACCAGCTGTGAACTAACAAGAATCTGAAAACGAAAATTTTGAGTAACTCTTTAGGTTTACCGCCCCTATCAGCTCAGTAAAAGGTCGCGCTCATATGACCGTATGCAGTTTCGAGCGCCCTAAAACCCTCTACTATATACTACTATAGTAAAAGGTCACTAAAGAGGCAAAACCGCTCAATTGAACATCTATGTCCGATAGAACTGAAGCAAATGGATCTAGAGCCTTAAAAACTCCCCAAGACAACCCAAGTTCAGAACGTCATGTTGGGGACTCGAACCAGGGCCATCCACTATGTAGTCAAGCAGGATACCAGTCGAGCTAACGGCGCGTCCAAACATTATTCTGAGCTGAACGTCTTCGTACCTTCAACGTTTAATATCATTAAACAAGACCAATCACTATCCGGGTGATCCCCATCACCCATCAAAATTACCAAATCGACTAGGTTGGCAAGCACTGCTATAGATGACTGCCCCAGTGTGCGACCATGAGGTCATACTATCAATGGGCTACGTAAGGCGGTTTTCCGTTCCGAGAGTAGCCATTATGTGCATTGCGCTGGGCCAATATGCAAAACAGGAGAAGTGCAAAAAATATTTATCTACGTCAAATCTAGATCGCACCAGTGTGTTCCCTCCTCCTCCTCCTC